TCCTTTGTTTAGTCAAACATGATTTCCTTCTCACAAAACCAAGCTGACTCTGCCTGATTGCATGAAGATTTTCTAAGTGCCCTACTATCCATAAAATCCATAGAATCCCCAGAGTGTGGAAACAGGCCATTTGGCCTAACGAGTCCATACTGACCCTCAGAAGAACATCCCATCAAGACTCATCCCCCTACCCTACCTTATCCCTGTATTTCCCATGGTAAATGCACCTAACCTACACATCCCTGAACACTATGGGTAATTTAGCATGGCCAATCCACCTAAACGGCACATCTTTGGACTGTGGGAGGAAACCAGAGCACTCGGAGGAAACCCACGCAGACACGGGGAGAACATGCAAACTCTATACAGACAGTTGCTTGAGGCCGGAGTCGAACTATAACCTTGTTAATAATAGATTCAGCATAAAAAGGCCGTTTTCAGGTTGGCAGGTTATTTAGCGCAAAGAGGTCAAAGAACAGCACAGGAACAGGCCCTTCAGCTGACCAAGACTATACTGGCATGTGATGTCCTTCTAAACTAAAAACTTTTTGTCTGTACATGGTCTGTATCCTTCTATTCCCTGCCTATTCATACATCTGTCAAGATGCCTCTTAACCGTTGCTATTGTATCCACTTCCATCATCTCCTCTGGCAGCACATTCCAGGCACTTACCACGCTCTGTGTAAAAAAAGTACCTCTCACATATCCTTTAAATCTACCCCCTTAGTAGTTAGATACCGCAAAGATCAATGCTGACTCTCTGTAAGCAACAGCCATATTAATAACACAACGAAGAGACTGACTCTAGCGTGTCTGTGTTTACTGATGATGCAGTGCTAGGTAGGAAAGTAAAATGTGAGGAAGGTACAATAGAGTCTGCACAGGGAATGGATTGATTAAGTGAGCAAATTTTTTACACAGAAGTTCACGAGTGGATTGAAGTTTCTGAGGAAGTGGTAGATGCGGACACAGTTACAACTTTTAAAAGACACTTAGATAAGTGCATGATTAGAAAAGGTTGGGAGGAATATGGGCCAGGAGCAGGCAAGGAGGGACTAGCTTAGTTTTTGATTATGTTCGGCGTAGATTGGTTGGACTGAAGAGTCTGTCAATAGCCCTTTTTACAATGTTCCTACATGTTGTTCCGTCATGGGTTGAGACTGCTGGCATTTTCATGGGGAATGTTGGTTAGCCATGTTACCTCGTAAAATTCGCCTTTGAGCAATATCTGCTCTTGGCTGTGGAGCAAGAAATCTATGTTAGATAAGGTTCCCCTGTTGTGCTCATCAGTTATCTCAACTGGCATCAGTAATTCTTAAACATAAACCTGATAGTTCAAACCAGCTGCATGCTGATTGGATTTTGGAAGCTGGGAAAAGAGCTGACATTCTGTAGATAGCACTGATGACTAAAGGCAAGTGCATAAACTAAAGAGCAGCCTGAGCCTGACATTTTCTTGCATGGGTGCATCCAAAAATTTCCTGTACTAAGTGGTGCTGAATTTAACCACTCGATAAAGGAACCTCACAGTTGGTAGAATATCTATATATATTTTCCAACATGCCTATGTTTATAAAAGTACGTGTTTAAAGGTAAAATTTCTTATAATAGTAGCAGCTCCCTGTAGTTTTTTTTTTGTACTGATTATAAGCGTTGTTACACAGAATGTAGGTGGAAATAATCCTTTTCTTTTTATTGTCCTGGTAAAACTAAAATCGGTATTCATTATAAGACTGGACTGACTAATAATTCCTGTTCTTCAACATTTTTGTACTGTGTTATTCAGTGAAGTGAAATTAAAAATAGCAAGCAGCCTATGTTTTCAATGCACCCTCTGGAACACAGCTCTGTTTATGATTCTAAAGCAAGCTGTCATTTCTCCTCTTTTACCTGATCATTACACCCCTCAAAGGTTTGTTCACAGTTCAACCACACCTTTTAAGATAGTCTCATTGAACCGCAAATCCTTATAAACATGTATGCATTGTAAGCTTTCTCCTCGAGTGTGTTATTACAACTTGGAATAATTAACATCCAATTAGTTGATTTAACAGAAAATGAAAGTTTAATTGAGCACAATTTTTCCATCACTTTGGTCTCAATGGATGCACAACAAATTTGTCACCAAGCCACGAAATAATTATAGCTTTCAGAGTCCCAATCAACTTTTTAAAAAGTCTGAGCTGCAGATTAAACCCAAATTAATTTCTTCGCAGCCTCAGTGAAATATATAGCAATTGAAAACATCAAACAAAGCTTTTGAACTGTAAGCTGGACATTTTCTCATTGCTGCGGAAATGTTACCCCCAGACACAGTTAATGAATTCAGTGAACATCAAGTTCTGAATTCAAATCCAATCTCAGCGATTTTTTAACTATTTTATCACCGAAAGACCACAAAATTTGATCAGACTTGAATACGAACTGGACAACTATGATGCTTGATCACCTGCCCCCATTGCTTCTGATGCAGGCAGCATGCAAACATTGTGCTGCCTAGTATTTAAATGATTGCCGTATACTGCCAGGGTGAGGCATGGTGTTGAGTTGCTGCATGCTCAAGTAGGGAGTGTAAAATTATGAGAGGCTCACAGAAATTTAAACGAGTACGTCAAGCCAGTGAGTACAAACCATTGATGAGTGTTCACAGGAATGTTTACATTGCCAGAACCTGTAGATCCATGCCTGCATTTCTGAAAGTGGCAGAGCATCAAGAACTGAAGCTTCTGTAGAGAGGCTTGTGTCAACTGCCAGACATATTACAACATCGCTTACTGGAGTCAAGGTCATTGACACCCTCAACTTTGCTTTCTGCACCTTCTCGGCTTCAACAAGCTGCATAAGTCAGTGTGCCAATTATACTAAAGAATAACTGGGTCAGTGTTTTATAGGGCATAATAAAGCTCTGGGGTTTACAATTGCCCCACAGTCAGAGTGTCATTGATTGCACCCAAGAACCTGGTAGCCACTTTCAGATAATCTAGTGGAGAAGGGAAGGAAAAAGCTGCCATCTACCATAGAATCCCTACAGCATGGACACAGGCCATTTGGCCCATCAATTCCAAACAGCTCCTCCAAAGAGCATCCCACCCAGACTCACCCCCCTCCCCCCACCCTATCCCTGCATTTTCCATGGCTAATCCACCCATTCTACACATCCCTGGACACAAGGGGCAATTTAGCATGGCCAATCCACCCAAACTGCACACCTATGGACTGTGCAGGAAACCAGAGCACCCGGCAGAACCCCATGCAGACACGAGGCGAATGTGCAAACTCTACACAGTTGCCCAAGAGTGGAATCGAACCCCTGGCACTGTGAGGCAGCAGTGCTAACCACTAAGCCACCGTGCCACCTTTTATGTTTTTGTAGATGGACTCTCCTTGACTGCTTCCCCCCTTGCCTGGGTTTTTTTTTTATGGAATCCATAGTGTGGAAGCAGGCCATTTGGCCCATCGGCTTCTGTTTTCTGTCTATCTACCTGGGGCTGAGGGCCTCACAGTGAAACACTTCTGCAGAAATGGCGTGGGTTACACATGCAGCGTGATCCCAGAAAGTACCACATGGCTGCGATTTTAACCACCAGCATTTCCCTGTTCTCATTATCAGTGCAAGTTAAAAATGCAGCTGAACTAGCTAAACTAAAAATTCTCAAGAGAACTACACTGATGAGCCTTTTTTGTTGGATGAAGTAATTTAGAGTTTAAACTTTCTTTATTACACAGAATTTGTCCAATATTTTCATTGTTGAAAGGTCATGCAACATTTATGAATGCCAGAAGCAGAAAGAAAAGTTGTTTGGCAAGGCAGGAGTCATAGATAACAATGGTGTGATTGAAAAAAAAACTGGTTTCTGATTAACCAAGCAATAAAATTTATTCATGTTACTTTAGTTAAGTGGGATTCTCAACATACAATGTGCTGTGAATTTGTGGCAAAAATTATTTGACCCTAACGTGATTATTATATTAAATTCTGCTATGTTTTTGCATATAGAATCTCTACAGTGTAGAAACAGGCCATTCGGCCCAGCAAGTCCGCACCGACTCTCTGAACAGCATCCCATCTGGGCTCATACCCCTATCTCATTCCTGTAACCCTGTATTTCCCATGGCCAATCTACCTAACCTGCACAGATTTGGACATTTGCCAAAGGCTGGGATTGAACCCAGGTCCCTGGAGCTGTGAGGCAGCAGTGCTAACCACTATGCTGCCCTGTATATATGTTGTCCATTTTAATATTACAGAACTGAATATCACTGCCTGCTAAAACTTTCCAATAAACATTCCTTTTAACTTCTTACTCAAATCTTCGATAGCAAATCCAATTATTATTAATGGCTCTCTTCATAGCTTGCTTCAGATACTGCCGTATTTTAAATTTCACATATTAAACAAGGCAAAGCATACTTTATTGCACAGTATTACCATCTGCCTTTAATTTTATTACAAAATGATAGCCATTTTAAATTTAAACCACAAGAACTTTCAGTGCACATTACACCTAGGCTAAAATTATCAGTAGTACTGAACATTTTAACAAGGAAAGCCTCAGCTATGTTTAGAAAATGCCAACAATTGTTAAATGCTTCCTGCAAACTGAATCAATCCAAAACTTGTCTCTTTCAAGTATGCGTACTGAGTATTAACTTTGTCTCTAGTTCATTAATCTACAGATCTCCAAACTATGGCTGAACATGATCTCAATGACTAGCAACTCAGCCAGTAAAGTTAAGACAACTCTGCTATTCCGGCGTGTTTGTTGTTTGAATTTTAAGAGTGGAGACCTCAAAAGACAACTCCCTGGCATTTGTTGTGAAATCCCAAAGCAGACACCAAGATGTGTCAGTATTAAAAGCTTGAGATTTCAATTTAAATTTTAAATAAGGCCCTTGTCAATCGCTATCGTGCACTTAAGTGATCAATAAGAATAGTAAGTTAGGGTATCCTTGCATTAGCCTACAAGTCCTGTTTTCTTATTTGAACCTTTATTTACAGGATCCACCTACATCAGTGTCACTTGGGCTGCGAATGGAAGAGATGATCTTCAACCTGGCAGATACACATCTGTTTTTTAATGATTTAGAAGTAAGTGGTGATTTTATTTTTACAGCTAGCCTTTATTGTTAAACTTTACCTGTGTTCAAATCATCTCATTGAAGAATTTTTATCATTGATGGACAGTTGATTAGTGGAAAGATGAATGAACTCAATAATAAAGCTGCCGTTGTTCAATCTTCAGTTTAGTTACTGATTTAACTCAAGAATATCCCTGAAAATATTTCCTATCCATGGAAAGTATCCTGCATTGGGGCAGGAAATTGAGACAGTTTGTTTTATGTATTGAAGTTACACTGTGGTAGGTTTTTTGAGTAGTCTTTATATTAGTACATAAATCAATAACAATGTGATGGCTAGAATTCAGTTCTCAGTTGGCCTTCCAACAAAAATATGATGTTACTCATCACCTTAGTAATAGGCATGTTGATTTTGAATATCCAAACAATTAAGTTCTTTGAGCATTTGAGTATTTGTGTTAGCAGGTTTAAAAATCTGTGTTAAACACCTATGTTAAAAATTTGATACCTTGGATAAAATATTCTGATATTTAATGGTGAGATGTTATAATAGGTTGCAAATTGTGAGAATTTTACAAGGTTAGAGCTCATAATTATTAAAGCGAGTGTTATGTATCTCATTCTTCAAATATTTTTCTGATTTTTTTTAATTACTTGGGGACTTGTTGATCCATCCCTGAAGCTGGCCTTCTTGTCATTAGAATGGAACTGTTGAGACATTGGGTGAAATTTGCATAGGGACAGGAGTGGCCAACTACAGCCAGCCAAACTACAAAACGATGCTTTTGTTTTCTTGCTTATTGCTGTCAGTAATTTTGTTTTAAAATGCCAAGTTGTGAGTCCTTTATAGCATTTTAAAGAGCGGGCACTATTGATATGTCAATGTGCAAAGGTACTATCTTGCACAAAATAAGATGCCACAGTGGCAGTAACAGAAATTGCCAGAAAAACTTAACAGGTCTGGGAGCAACTGTGGAGAGAAGTCAGAGTTCAACATTTCGGGTCCAGTGACCATTCCTCAGAACTGATGGCCAATAGAAAAAAGAGATAACAAGGTGTAAACCTGGATGAACACAGCAGGCCAAGCAGCATCATAGAAGCAGGAAGGCTGACGTTTCGGGCCTAGACCCTTCATCAGAAATCGCCGATAGGAAAAAGTTGTTTTTGTGCAGATTATGCATATTAAACAAGTTAAAGCGTACTTTTTGATGTAGAAGATAGGGTGGAGGGAGGGGGTAAAGAGTAAACGATAGGTGGATATAGAGCCCAAAGAGAGAGAGGAACAGTTGGACAGATAAAAGAGCAGATAACGATCATGCGAGGAGAATGGATAGCTACTAATGGGGACAATTAGTGGCTAACAATGGGTTGTGTGTAATAGCAGATCATGTGATAACAAGGTCAGGTGGATGGGGGCTAGAGTAAGAACAGGGGAGAAGGTGCATGAGACCCATAAGTATTGAACTCAGTATTGAGTCCAGAAGGCTGTAGAGTTAATTATGTTTTATTAATTATTTTTGTTTGGGGGTGTAATACTTCAACAAAGAATGTATTTCTTACTTAAATAGTCCTTTTTGAACAAGTAGGTAAGACTTGTATTAATACCTTACTCAAATCCAGCACCTCCAGCAATGTCATAGCCCTCAGTATTGTGCTACTGTATCAGCTTAGGATGTGTCAACAGTGCTGCAATAGGTCTTAAACCCTCAAGCAAAGGAAGTGGTATTGAGCCAACCTGTCATGCATTGTCTGTAGAGCATTTAGAGCCATTTCTGGGAGACATGTAATACATTGTGTAAATAGAAATCTTCATTAGTTTGCAATATTAATCCTCAGAATACTGTAAGTATGTTACTTTCCTGGCATGATTGGACTGTCATTGACACAAACCAGATTACTCATTCTGTGTTTTCCGGCTTGATGTTTCAAACCAGTTGTGATGATCATTTATATCAATTTTGAAAACTACTGGCAGTTTTTGGGCTTCAAAGCTGGACAGTTTTCAACTAAGCAGAAGTTCCCATCTCCAAAATGGTTAGAAGACGGAAGAAAAATGTAAGAAAAGAGCATAATATATTTTTGAATTGTGAGAGGAAGTTGACTAGAAACAAACAAGGAAGAGAGAGAGAGAGAGAGCAGGAATGGGAACAGAGCAAAGACAGTGGTTGAAAAATTATATTTCATCATCTTAGGTATGTTTTTCTTTTTGGTGCAGAGTAACCATTCTGGAGTGTTTATGACTTACAGATTTTTCGCTGAAAACTTAATTTGATTTGATTAGATTTGATTTATTGTAGTCACGTGTACTTAACTGCAGTGAAAAGCTTTGTTTTGTGAGCAGTACAGGCAGATCATAACAACCAAGGACATACAGATCTTAGGGTGCTTAGACACAGCAAGGCATGCGTAATTCTCTCTCTCCAGCACAACTACAGCTTCCGGAAATGTACTGGTACAAAAATTTGTTTCTGAACTCGCGTATGAAGACAATATTGATTTCAAGGGACCAAATGGTTCCATGGGTGCTACCGGTGAAGGAAGAGTTACAGGACATAGTGAGGCAGAGGGAATATGAGGCTAGAAGGGATTACAGGTGTAAGAAGTCAGGTAGATCTTGGGTCAGAAATTAAAGATGTTGTTGCTGTGCACAAGTGAGAAGCCTTAATAAAAAGAGTCATTACCATAGATGGTATGAGACAATGACACTTCCATGGACCTCAGAAAGAAAGAGTGATTAGGGATGATATTTGGATGAAACACAAGAGCCAATTGTAGACTTATTGGCAAAGTGATGATGACAGCAATATTCTAAAAGTGAGAGGTTGGTTCCTGAGCACACAGATACTTATGACTTATGTTAGCTAACAGATTAGAAAGTCTAACTGAGACACCTAGAGTTGGGGAATAGTTGATATTCCATAATCTAAACGTGTCAAATTACAGATGTTCTGTTCACAAAGGGTGTCATTCTTTTCAGACATTCAGTAAGATTTTGTTAGGTAAATCTTCCATATGGTGGCTGTGTAAATAAGCCGTGTAAATAAGCCATGTAAATTCTGGATGGCCTTTCGGGTACCAGGAGATGAGTTAATTATCCTCCGATACTCAGGCTCTGCTTTTAGCCACCCTGCTGACATGCCTGCTCCAATTCTATTTCTTGTCAGTGGTGACCATCAGGACATCGATGCTGGGGACACCAGCATGTACTAGTTTTAAAAGGAGAAAGCCTTGCAGTTTTGTTTGTCAGAAATTGCATTGCCTGCCACTTTCATTCTCAGTTTTTAATATTCATTCCAGTCACCTTTCTCTTCAACTTTCTTGCTTGAAAGACTGCCCAACTCCGTCCCTGCCACAGCCCTGTTGCTGAAACCTTTATTCATGCATGTTTTTGTTAACCACCAGATTTGACTATTCCACTGTGAACCTGAATAGTTTCCTATGTCTGGGGAGGCAATGGTATTAGTGGTATTATCACTAGATTATTAATCCAGAAACTCAGCTAATGTTTTGATTACTCAGACGGAATAAGACTAATCCTGGCTCTGTCTCCATGTTTCCCATCACTTATGAGAAAAAGATCTCCACTCTTGTGATTTTTCCTATTAAGAACATAACTAAAGTACATGGAATTACATGCATCAACTATCCTTTTGTTTGATGATGCTATTTATCCATCTATTATTTTAAACACCAATCTATGTTTCAAATTTATTTGACGCTCGGCTGAAACTAATTCTAATTTCAGAAGTTTCTATTCATTTTAAAGTATGTAAAAGTCTTCACTAATTTTCCATATGCTGGTAAATGATAATGGGAATAACAAACATTACTCGTATTTGTCAGAAAATTATTTTGTTAAAGCAGTGACTAGTAATTGAAATCATTTCAGTTTATTTTGAAAGACCAAATACTGATGAAGATTGGACACTTAAATATTGTACTGAAAACAACAAAGCTGGAGATCACAGCAGGTCAGACAGTATCCATGGAGAGAGTTTCGGCTGTGATGAAGAGTCATCTCGACTCAAAATGTTAGCTTGCTCTCTCTCCATGGATGCTGTCTGACCCACTGTGATCTCCAGCATTTGTTGTTTTCAGTACAGATTCCAGCATCTGCAGTTATTTGAACAAAGAGACCTTGGAGTGCAGGTTCATAGTTCCTTGAAAGTGGAGTTGCAGGTAGACAGGGTAGTGAGAAGGCATTTGGTATGCTTGCCTTTATTGGTCAGTGCATTGAGTATAGGAGGTCAGAGGTCATGTTGCAGCCCTACAGGATATTGGTTAGGCTACTACTGGAATATTGTGTGCAATTCTGGTCTCCCTGATATAGGAAGTATGTTGTAAATCTTGAAAGAGTTTAGAAAAGATTTAAGAGGATGTTGCTAGGGTTGGAGGGTTTGAGCTATAGGGATAGGCTGAATAGGCTGAGGCTATTTTCCCTGGAGCGTTGGAGGCTGAAGAGTGGCCTTATAGAGGTTTATAAAATCATGAGGGGCGTAGATAGGGTAAATAGGCAAGGTCTTTTTCCTGGGGTAGGGGAGTCCAAAACTTGAGGGCATAAGTTTAAAGCGAGAGCAGAAAGATTTAAAAGGGACCTAAGTGGAAACTTTTTCATGCATAGGGTGGTGCGTGTATAGAATGAGCTGCATGAGGAAGTGGTGGAGACTGGTACAAGTACAACATTTAAAAGGCATCTGGATGGGTCTATCGATTGAAAGCATTTACAAAGATCTGGGCCAAATGCTGCCAAATGGGACTAGATTAAATTAGGGTATCTGGTCGGCATGGATGTGTTGGACCGAAAGGTCTGTTTCCGTGTTCTACTTAAATGTTGTACTTTCACACCCATAACCATTTATCAGTAGTGTGCAGATTCCACAGTTACATCCTCCTGTGCGAACATTATGCCTTCAGGCCCATGGGATATGATTTTGAAAGTATCTGTCAATCTTCGTGCCATACTCTTTTACTGCTATTTCCATGCCTCTTATATCAGTAGGTACAATTTCT